TTGGTCAGAATCAATCAATGGAAAGTATGCCTTGCTCAGAACATTAATCCTATCAAACTTGCATTCTTCTATCACATCTATTAATATAAAATGAAGTGTACTGAAACATACTTTGAACAGAGTTTGCCTGAATTTCGTGTGAAGCTGAAAATTAGCTCTACTATGAATTTGGTTTATTTTTTTTTAAAGATACATTTGTAAGGCAAAAAATTTGATTCCACACATAAGCAAGTGCAAGTTTAAATGACAGAGGGAACGTCTTCAATTTGTTTTGTGTAACTTTCATAAAATACTGTGATTTTATCTGCCATACTCAATTTGAAAATAGATGTGTTGGCTAATAAGAAACTACCTTTCTCATGAAATTAGAATGCTGAACCAGGTATCTGTGATTATGCATGACAGCAATAAGCCCTGGATGTTTTATTTGTTTTGCCCCATTAAGAATGCTGTACCCATGATTTTCCATGTTAAAAGGTAGCAACAAACTGAACTACATTTACCTAAGAACAACAATGGTAAGATGTGGAGAGCGGGTGGCTGCTTTCAAGAGCCTGTACGCTCTGTTTTAGATGTGCCCCCTAGTGTTCAAAGAACATAGATTCACCATCTGGGAAGATCCATTAAAAAGGTGATACTATCTACCTTCAGTACTGTTTTCTCAGTGAATCTGAGATGACTCTCCCCTACTGGGAAGAAAATAGTTTTCCTTTAAAGTGAGTAAGCCTTATAAAAATTAGTTACATAATCTTCAGTTGTGGTTTGAACTGTAGGCAGCAAGTATGCTTTCTGAATGCTTAAAAAACATCAAATCATTTTCTGTGATCTACTGAAATAGGAATGACATTGTACTACCTCACCTAAAGCGAGATCAAGGATAAGCGCTTTCAAATTAAGTCCTACTGTACAATAGTGACAAATCAGTTTTTCCCCTGTTGTGCATAACCAAAGGAAAATGATATGTCTGTTCCCTGAAGCCCTGTTAGGTAATTTGAAGCAATGATAAGTTAAAACAACTGTACTGGACTGGTGGGCTACATTAAGTGGGGAAGCTTCTTGGGATACATGGTGATCCTCCAGAAGTACAACAGATCTTCAGCAGATAAAACTGCCAAAAGAGAATTGTAATGGAAACCAGAAACCAGTGTTTCTCAACCTTGGTGACTTTAAGATCTGTTGACTTTAAATCCTACTATTTCCCAGGCAGCCAGATTGGGGAATTCTGGAAATGAAGTCCACACATCCTAAGGTTGCCAGGATTGAGAAACACTGCCAAAGCAGACCAACACTATCTGACATAAGAGCTCAGCACTGTCATGTCCAATCAAATCTGTAATTAAGTAAATACCATTATCTGTGGGAATATCTTCGTTTAAAAGCAATATTGCAAACTATGTACAGTACCAAGATGCTAATACCACAAGTAGTCCTCAACTTACAACCATTTGTTTAGTGACAAAACTGTTTAGGGGTAAAACTCACTTAACAAATGTTTCACTTAGCAACATAAATTTTGGGCTCAATTATCATAAGTCGAGGACTTCCTGTATTGTGAAAATGGAAGTGTACCTTCCACCCATCCAAAAGGTGATGAATTTGATATTATAAACTCATCAGACTTTGATTATTAACAAAACTGTTCTTTACAAGAAAACTAAATTATATTGCTCTTCAATAACCAATTAGCAAATTTCCATGGGAAATTTTCAGATTTCAGGTATAAGGTCTTCCCTTACTTTACCCATGGGAACTGGGGAATGCTAAATGGAGTACTAGACTAAATTTCCTAGAGCAGGCATGTCAAACTCGTGACATCACGTCACATATCGGGACATTTTATGTCTGGGTGTTTTATCCTTGGGATGGACAAGCTTCTGCTAGATCATTTTTGAGATTTGATGAAGGCCCACTTGGGATAGCCACACATTCTGAGGGCTTCAGCTCTGTGGTGTAAGGTTCTTATAACTCCCATTTTGTGCTCCAGTGGGTGGTGTGAGTCAAAATGTAACTACTGATCCATGTGAATGTATTTTCTATAAATTTCAACATTAAGGCTTCTAACTTCCTTAATGGATACAGCACAGTCCAGGGAGACTAACTACTTTCCTTAACATCTTCATGGGTGAATTTGATGTATCTGTCCACCAAGTTGATATGTTTGGTGAATGCTTCCAATTCTTGTGTTTTGATCTTGACCCATAGAGCTCCTCCATAACAGATGAAGAAAACAATAAACGAAACAACGTAGTCATTCCATATGTTGCAAGAATATTGGAAAAGATCAGGAGGATCTTCTACCAACACAACATACGTGCACACTTCAAACCTAAGAATACACTAAGGCAGAAGCTTGTCTACCTCAAGGATAAAACACCCAGACACAAAATGAGCAATGTGGTATATGCAGTACAATGCAGTGAGCCATGTGCAGATCTGTACATTGGGGAAACGAAACAACAACTTCATAAACGTATGGCACAACAAGGAGAACAAACCCATCAGGACAAGAGTCAGCAGTCCATCTGCATTTAAAAGACAAAGGCCACACTTTCGAAGACAGCGAAGTCCAGAGTTTGGACAGAGAGGACCGCTGGTTTGAAAGAGGGGTCAAAGAGGCCATTTATGTCAAAACTGAACAGCCCTCTCTCAACAGAGGGGGAGGGATCTGACATCATCTATCTCTAGTCTACAACACGGTCCTTTCAACAGTACCAAGAAGGCTCCACACCCATTTGCAGTACTCAGGTGACCCTGGAGACACAGATATGCCTCCAGGTAGCTTTAACAACTTGCTAAAAGAATGCAAATGAACAGCTGTCTGCAGGAGTATAAATTTTCCATTCCCCACCATCCAGTCAGAGCTGAAGAAGCTTCTTGGATGAGAAGCAAAACATCTTCAAAGAAAAACAACGAAGTCCGGTTGCCTTGTGAAAAAGTATCTTTGGGATAAGCAGCTCTAATCCTCTTTTTCACTGTTTTTGAAATGCAAGTAAGGAACTGTTGCTCAAACTCAAGTTCAGGGCCACACAATGTAAAGTTCCCAAGTTTGAAAAACATTGAACTAAAGCAAAAGATAAATTCTTATCCAGGAAGCAACACAAAGGTCAAAGTAATTCTCTGTTAGAGAAAGGGGCTAGAGATCAGGCATATTCCTTTCTGTATATTTTTTTAAAAAATCTTCAAAGTTATACATTTTTTCTCTTTCTGATTTATTACAAACTCATCTGATAATATCAAGAGCCTTCACTTATGTCCTAGAACTATCCAGATATCCATGAACGTAGATTCTCATATTATTTCAGTCTCTTGCAGACCTTTGCAGAGCAAGGACAGAGAAAGGATGTCCAACATTTTAGGCAATTTGAAAGGCTTTTTGAAAAACCACTAGAGATCAAAGTATTTGTGTCAAAGCCTGGGATTCCTTGATAATCATATTATCAGTGGCTCTTTTCATACTCTACTGTATGCCATTTTGTTATCATGGTAAGGCGCTATTACTGTACTTAATTTCAAAGCAATAGAGGACATGCCTACATTAAACATTTCAGCTTACTCCAAACATGCTGCTTCCATAGAAGGAATAGCAATGATTTCAGACATCATTTAGCAGATACACAATGTTAACATTTCCCCAGGTCTTCTTGCAACAGCATTATAGTTGTATTTGTTTAACAGGGCTAAATGAGTGGGGAAGACATACAGTACATTCCAATATGCTGCATTCTAAGACACTTTCCATAACTTGAAATGAATCCTTTCTTAAGTTTCTCTTGGAATTGCAGGTATCTTTTCAAACATCCCCTTTAAGTCTCTAGTGGTAGGGCACCCAGTACAAACATAGGGCAGTACTATGGATTTGAAAGCAAAAAGATGCATTGGAGAACACAAAAGTGCACACATGGTACCTGTCTGCAAGTCTCTAATCCAGGCATGTCAAACTTGCAACGTCACGTGACGTCACACGACGTATCAGGACTTTTTCCCCATTGCTGGCAATGGGGTGGGTGCGGTTTCAGCATGACGCATCCGGCCCACGGGCCGGCAGTTTGACATGCCTGCTCTAACCCAAATCTACCTTTAGTTGGAATTGAACTGCAGCTATGGTTAGAATCTGTGCAGTTGTACTCTAAAGGATTGCAGACAGGTGTTATATTTTGCCTTTTAAAGTGCTGCACAGCCCCCAGAATGTCTATTAAACAAATAATAATAAATTTATCAAGTCATGCTAATTGGCTGTAATTACATATCAAGTATGCTCACGTATGCTTCACCAGCATTCCAATTTTCCTCTTGGCTGGCTAACGAAGAGAAATCTATATTTTTAGTTTCTTTTTTAACCAAGATGCTATTGAACTCCAATACTAATCACTTCTAGCCAAAATGTCCTGTGATGAAGGACTTGTAGTCAATATACTGTAGTAATTTCTCTGGCTTTAATGGAAAGCTGTAAAACAAGGTTCTCTTAACAAACCCAAATCATGTAGTTAAAAAAAATGGCTTGCAACTCTAGTTTGTTAAACAGAAATGTGTTAGGGATCTCAATTTACACATTTGGCTTGGAACAAATACTTGACAGATCTGTACACGTCTGCAGAGTCACAGCAGGAAAAATGTGAAACAGTTCAAGCCTGAACAGAAAAAGTAACCATAGCTATGTGTGTAAAAAGTGTTTTTAAATAAAAAATAAATAAAAAACAACACTGTATTTCTAGAACAAATACATTAATATTCAAACAGGAGATACGGTATTTATTCTGCTGGGGCTTTAATAAAAGCAGTCCTATGGACTGCACCTTCTGCTCTACAGAAGGTTTCTTTTATGATATTTATTCTGATGATCTGTTTCCTTCTTTTATAATATTAGACAAAAGTGTTCAATGATAAAAAAGCTGACCTAACATTCTAAATTCTTCAGTTCCTCTAAGGTTACTGGCTAAGAATTATGAGAATACAAACTGAATATCACATATGTCTAACAACAAAAGTCTGAACTTCCTTACCTGAGAAAAATTGAGACCGTTCAACGGATAACATTGTTCCTCTACTTTTTCCACTGCTCCAGTCTGCTTCTGGAGACGTTCTGCCTCCTGAGCCAGATACAGATCTAAGACAGGCACCCCCCGTGACTTGATGTCCACCTCAGTCAGAGAATTCACCATCAGCATGACCCAAACGGGCCTTTTCCTCTCCCAGTTGCCTGCAATGGCATTGAAGAGATAGTCTGCATACAGGCCTTTGCCTCGTTGATCTGGTGTCATCCAGGAAGGCATCATCAGCTTGACATACTCCAAGTGGCGCTTGAGTCGGCGATAGAGGTCCCTGGGGAGCACATCCTGAAGGTTCTTGCCCTGCGGTAGGAGCTGGCAACTGGTCAAAGCAGAGATTGTGTAGGGATCTGTGAGGTCCAGCTCAAAGTAGACAACATGACTCTCCTTGAATGCTTTCTTAGAATTCTCAGGGATAAAATCCCAGACTCGAGTATACGGGACATGAATGGTACCAAAAAGGTAAGATGGTGGTTCTCTCTTTATAGTCCACAGGAAGGAGTTCAGCTCACGTTGCTGAAGGAAAGGAAACACAGCAGTGAAAATAAATAAGGCTGTATGTGGGGAAACAACATGGGGAACAACTAATCATTAAGTGAGATGGATGAGTGGCATAGCCTGTCATTAAATTTACTGAAAAAACAGTAGATTGGGTACAAATCTTGACTGAGGCTAAGTTTCTAGTGCAAAAATCAGGAAGGCAGGGAAAAATCCAAAAAAATAAAACAAAACAAAAAAAAATGACTTCATTAGATGTTAGGTGAAGTTCTCATAGTAGCATTGGTACAACTGAAATAGAGAAGTGAGCAATAACTGAGAAACGAACAGAACACAGTTACTGATTTCACTTAGAAGAAAATGGACTGAGGTTACAGAGCATTTTCAAAGTGCTGTTTAAATTCATATATTTAGAAGGCTTTTTTTCTTCTCTAATCTGGTACATCTCTAATTTCTTTTGTTCACTACTCCTTATTCTGTGTTTTGCACAACACTATTTATCCCAAAAGGAAACAGAAAAATACTAATAGTATGTATGTAAAAGAAAAGAAAAAAAGAAAAACTTTGATATTATACATCAATAATAAACCCTCTTATAAAAAAGCCATGGCCACAGCATCTCCCAATAAGAAAAAAGACTGAGGATGCTGCAAACAGCCTTCAAATGTCCATAAAATGTATTTTATAACTTTGAAAATCTCATAGGAGATTGATATTAGCAGCCTACAGATCAAGGCAAAGTGATTTGGGGCAGGGTCTGAGGGTGAAAAAAAGGAAGCCTCTTTTATTTGTTGATCAGATGAATGAAGATAACTGAAAGTCCAAAGAGGCGAGAAGTGTCACCTACCCACTTAAAAGCAAACAATGAGTCCTAAAAGCTGCCACAGGCATGGAGGGGGTTAGGAAGGTCAATAGGCCTTTGTTTTAAATAGGCCTGATCTGTATGTGACAAAGAGCACACAGACAGATCCAAGTCTTTCGAAAAGGCATTTTACAATGAAAAGGCATCGCCCCCGGGCCCACTCAGAATTTGATTAACGCACGCCCACCCACTCTCTACCCCTTGTTTTCAGATCTAATATAAGAAAGGTCCCAGGATGAGACAAAGGCCTGCATTTTGTTAGACTGTCCTACGAAGAGCACTCCTACTTGCTCCCAGACTCAATACTGCAACTTTAAAACCAGACATTGTGGTTGCATCAGAAAAAAGCAGTTTGTGCCCTTAAAAAGTGGTTTCTCACATAATAAATTTCTCTGAAACCCGTGGCAAAAGAGACGCTGTAGAACTGGAACCCAGTGAAACCTAAGTAGATGTTACAGGAAGTAGACTTTTACAGAGCTGACACTTCAAAGCAGGTGCGTCAAACCTGTGGCCCATGGGCCACATGCAGCCCTGGACAGCTAGTAATGCAGCCCCACAAGACCCTAAACTTTAAGCATTATTTACACACACACACACATTATATATTTTATATGCGACCCAAGACAATTCTCTTCACTCAATGCAGCCCAGGCAAGCCAAAAGGTTGGACACAACTGCTTTAAAGCAACATTTTTGGCACCAGGGACTGGTTTCATAGAAGACCATTTTTCCACGGTCGGGGGGGGGGGATGATTTTGGTTTCACTCACTTGCCTGCCACTCACCCCCAGCTGTACAGCCCCCTTCCTAATAAGCCACGGACCAGTACCTGTCCAATGCCCAGGGGTCGGGGTCCCCTGCTTTAAAGGATGGGTAGGCAATGAGAATTCAGCTATTATTTTTTTTTGCATCGGGTCTAAACTTCCACACTCCTAATTTCAATTAGGCCTTTTCAATTATGAGTAGCCTCAGGCCTACAGATAACACCCCCCTTCCCAAACTGACAGCACAAGCCCCTTTTCCAATGTTTTCTCCATTGCTTAAAAGTCTCCCATCCATCTGAACAAAAATAACTCTCCTTGCTAATGGAAGTTCAACAAAAGTGGAGTTAAGTCTGAGTTTTCTCCTTGGCAAATGGGTTTAGAAACTGATCATAGGCTTCTACCAGGTCCTTCACTTTCCCCATACACATCAGATGGTGGTGGGACTACATGCTTCCTCTCTTTTGTGGAGCTACACAAAGCTTTACCAGCTCAGTATGGTTATCTCCACAATACAGTACACTCAAAACAAAAAGTACCAATAATCTGAAGCCACCTATAAGGAATGTAACACGTATCACTATGTGTTTGCGTTTAATTCTCACATATTAGAAGCAGGAAGCCCATTGGTCACACTGAGCACCCGTGAGAGAAGCTGCAATTTAACTCAATTTTTGAACCATATTTATTCCTATTGTTCATTTTTATATGTGACAGGTTTCTGTGCCAATGAGAGAATGATTAATATATGTAGTTGTAAAGCAGGGGTGTCAAACTCAATTTCATTGAGGGCTGCATCAGCATTGTGGTTGCCCTTGGAGGGCCGGGTGGGTGCGGCCAGGGTGGGTGCGGACTACTGGGTGGGCGTGGATGGAGTGGGTGTGGCCTACTGGGTGGGTGTGGATAGAGTGGGTGTGGCCTACTGGGTGGGCATGGCCAGCTCTACATCGTTCGCGTCAAGGGTGCCTGTGGGGGCCTGGGCAGGAGTGGGACAGATCTGGGGGTCTCTGGCAGAAGGGGGTGGGACTGGGGCAAGCACCAAGGCACGGTCCATTTCTTCATTCCTCACAAAGGGTGACACCTCCCCAGCATGCACCCAGAGGGCAGGGCCAACACAGCAGGGGCTGGTTCCTTGCTGTTTCTAGATGGCCTTGTGGAGCTAAGACTGAATGCATTTCAGCATAGATGGCCACCACAAAATTGTACATTGGCTCCCGGCCGGCCTGGGCCAAAGCCAAGGCAGCGGGGGCCATTCCCTCACTGTTTCCAGGATGGCTTCGCGGGCCACATGAAACCACTTCGCGGGCCGCATCTGGCCCCCAGGCCTTGTGTTTGACATGTCTTTTGTAAAGTATTTAATTTTTACCTTTTGGAAGATCTCATGATTGGTTTCAACTGCAATCGACATTAAGTTTGGCAAGAGAAAAGATGGGCAGTAGAGGATTTTTGTCTTTATTGAGATCCCCCCCCCAAATCTTTTTAGTGAGGGATTATCTTAAATTTAGGATCACAGAACTACGGAACTGGAAGGAGCATATATGCTAGTTATCTAATAACTTTTATTTTTAAAACAGTTAAAATAGATGCTAAGTTTATTCAAGCTACAGCAAGAAAAAGGTTGTATTTATAGATCCAAAACAGGAAATAGCATTCCATTCACACTAGTTAACACTTATTTTTATTTTTACTTTCCTTAAACGTTACACTGCAGTTTGGCAGAAGTATTTGCAAAGCAGCATCAGTGTGTTCTTCCAGGTGGTCTGAATTTGAAAATGCCATTTTTTAAAATGACACACCAAAATCTGACATTGTATTCATCTTCAAAAGCTATTTGACAATTATTGAATAGGGGCCACCAGGGCAATGATAAAAAGGAACATGCCTCAGTGTTGTCTCTCTTATTAAAACATTTAGATTCCATTTATTCAGGTCAACTTCAGATACAGCAGAAAGACTGCATCTCTATCGTTTCCCACAACAATGTCAATAAGAGAGGTCTAATGTGGAAAACTATATTACCTTAGATCAATGCCCCCCAATCTTTTGGGCATCCGGGACCAGTTCCGTGGAGAAGGTTTTTCTGTAGACTGCTAGGAGCGTGTTTTCACATGCTGCCTGTATCCCACAGATTGGGCTTTGCTTGTTTGCGCAGCCCGGTTTCCAGCATGCCGCAATCAGATGCCAGTTGGGGGGTTGTGGACCCCTGCCTTAGATTATTTCTGCTACAATTTATTTATTATGCTTCTCTTCACCTTCATTCAAGGAAAGCCAGTTTGCTGTAGTGGTGAAGGCACCCAACTAGTAAACTGTGAGTCCTGCCTTAGGCATGAAGCCAGCTGGGTGGCCTTGGGCCAGTCCCTCACTCTCAGCCCGAGGAGGGAGGCAATGGCAAACCACTTCCAAAAACCTTACCAAGAAAACTGCAGAGACTAGGCCAAGCTGTCACCAGGAATCAACACTGTTGATTCCAAGTCAGTTTACTATTATTAATAATTTATCCAAGAACTAAAGATAAAAGCTCCTGGACAATTAGGTACTATAAGCAAATTTCTTGTTTAAAAAAGAGTTTAACAACAAAAATATTTTTAATAAATAACACAACAATGAATCAAAAGATAAAATTTGCTATAGAAGTATAAAATTGCTAATTTCCTGGAAGATTTACAAGAAAATCAGAATAGTAGACTAACTGGAAAAATTGCGAGGTGGGGGGTGGGCGGGGTCCTAAAAGCAACACGGACAAACTGCTTCAATACTACTCTCAAATGTTGTCCCAGACAATGCTTGCTATTTGCCTGCAATCAAATATCCCATAAAGCCATATGGAATAATGTCACAATACTAAGTGACAGCATTGTAAAGTATTATGCTAAGTCACATGCAAAACTCATTAAACACCTCTCAAGCATGTTGCCTAAAGCACTGAAGTGCTGCAACTCTCCAAGACTTGAGTGCAGTTTTTAGAGGTTCCACAGATTCTCCAGGCACACCTATGAAGCACAGGTGCAGCCACCAGGATACTGACTGTACAGAAGCAAAGATCAGGTGAGGTGGAGATGTACAACTGACTATGCAATGCTTGTGAGAGGCCCCGATATTTTCACATTTCAAGATGTAGAGCAGGGGTATCAAACTGCCGGCCCACAGGCCGGTTGCATCATGCGGAGGCCGCGCCCATCCCAGCTCCGGCAATGCGAAAAAAGTCACAATACATTTGATACCCGTGATGTAGAAGTACTTTGCCAAACCCTCAGAATGCACTAAGAGTCTCTTGAAAAAGAAGAGGGGAGAGAGGAGAGGGAAAAGGGGAGGTTCCCGGTTCATACAGTTCCAGGTATACATTCTTCATTTTGAAATAGGTAATAACAGTGCAACCACACCTCAACTTCAGGGTTAAAAATTAGGACTGTATAATCTGGAGAGTGGAAAATGAT